ACAGAAGAAGCCTGGGTATGTTCTTCTCAGGCAATGGCAGAGGGAAAGACCAATAAGCCCAATCATATGGGTGCCTTTCAGAACTCTGCTTGCATCACACTTAGCCAACTAAGTGTGATTTCAAGCATGCACCATGGCCAACCCCAGCATCATAATAGGAGGGCACAAAGTTAGATGACTAAGGGCCTGGACACAGGAAGGTGTGGGAAACTGGCACTATTACTGGAATCTACCACCTTGGGTAAACTTTGCAATCTAGGAGAAGCCTGGTATACAGAAAAGAACATAGTGTAGGAAATAGAAAACATGAGTCCAAACTGTGGTTTTGGACAGGTCTTAAGAACTCTCTGTGTCATAGGTCCTTCAAATCCTATATAATAAAAGGGTAATATGCAAATTGACCAAACTGACTGATTGCTATGATGTACACTGACCACCAGGGGGCAGACGCTCAAAACATGAGCTGCCCCTGGTGGTCAGTGCGCTCCGACAGGGGAGTGGGCCTAAGCCGTCAATCGGACATCCCCCAAGGCTCCCAGACTGCGAAAGGGCACAGGCTGGGCTGAGGGACCCGCATCCCGCAGCCACCGGTACTCGAATGTCGTGCACTGGGCTTCTAGTATAAAATAAAGATACATTTTAGGGTCCAACTAAATTAAAGATTATTTTTCTTCTCTGGGTAAGCCTATATTGGAGATCATTTTATTGCAATAAGATGGAAAGGTCACTGAGAAACAAACTAACTAAAGCATTATGTCCTCCCCTTTTAATAAGAGTTACAATGACAACAACAACACTAATAGCTAACATATACTTCTCACTATATTTGTCTGTTCTAAATGCCTTATAATTATAAATGAATTGAATTTTTTAAAAATTATGTATTAAAAATAGAAATAGACTCATAGATAGAGAACAGACTATCAGAGGGGAAGGAGGCTTTGAGAGGCTGGGTGAAAAAGGTGAAGAGGTTAAGCAAAAAAACCTAATTCACACAGCCCTAGCCACTTTGGCTCAGTGGATAGAGCTTCGGCCCTCAGACTAAAAGGTTCTGGGTTTGATTGCTTTCAAGGGCACATACATTGGTTGCAGGCTGGATCCATGGCCATGATATGGAAGCAACCAATCCAAGTGTCTCTCTCACATTGATGTTTCTCTCTGTGTGTCTTTCCCCCTCCCTTCCACTCTCTCTAAAAATCAATGGAAAAATATCCTTGCGTGAGGATTAACAAAAAACAAGAAACTCATAGACACAGACAACAGCATGATGATTGCCAGAGGAGAATAGGCGTCGGCAGAAGTAGAAGAGAGTATGGGGTGGGGGTGGGGGGGATAAATGGTGATGAAAGGAGACTTGACTTGGGGTGGTGAACATACACCCTTCTTTTGCTATACTTACAGAGTTTTGTTATTTATAGAGTTTCTATTTACATGGTGTTTCTCTCCAAATTATATAGATAATCCAAAGGCTTAGTAAGCAGGATTTTTCAACTAAACACTGTCAAGTTGGAATTTTGCTCTTTTACACACTCTCTTTCCTTTGTACAGAGGTGTGGCCTCTCTTTTGAAAACAGTGACCTTACCATATTTCAGTTAAGAATATGGGTCATAGTCTATTACTCACATGAGTTAAAAAAAATCACTACATGGTAATGTCAGGGATTTTGGGTCCTGTTTAGGGTATTGTCCCCAACGTCCCCCCATAGTCATAACTACTCCACACATCTCAATGGGACATTAAGCAGGCCAAAGGACATGACAGATATTAAAATGTCTATAAATCCTAAGGTCCTTTACCCAAATAAGTTATTCTTTGGAGCTCCTAACATTTCTATAGAACTACATAGAGTGAATTGAAAGTTGATCTCAAATCCCAGTTTATCAAAATCTGTTTCTTTCTTCCCAGGCAACTCCCACCTATGATGCCCTGGCTCAGATGGAGTATCTTGACATGGTGATGAATGAATCCCTCAGACTATTCCCAATTGCTGGTAGACTTGAGAGGGTCTGTAAGAAGGATGTGGAAATCAGTGGGGTGTTCATTCCCAAAGGAACAGTGGTGATGGTGCCAAGCTTTGTTCTTCACCTAGACCCGACGTACTGGACAGAGCCAGAGGAGTTCCGTCCTGAAAGGTACTGGACCCCTGGGAAAGGGAACCCACCCTCATCCAGGCCAGTTGGACATGTTCTGATATCTTTTAGTATAGATGATGAACGTGTGGTTGTACAATCATTTATATGTACATTTTTCTGTTTTTACAAGTCTGTTTTTTTTTATTATGAGTAATCATTGTTTGTTGACAAAATTTTACAAACTCTGACTAGCTAAAAGAAAATTGTATCTGTCCAATCCTATATAATAAAAGGGTAATATGCAAATTGACCTTAATGGCAGAACCACCAAGAATGACTGGTTGCTATGATGTGCACTGACCACCAGGGGGCACACATTCAATTCAGGAGCTGTCCCCTGGTGGTAAGTGCACTTCCACAGGGGGAGGTCTGCTCGGCCACAAGCCGGGATGATGGCTGCGAGTGCAGTGGTGGTGGCAGGAGTCTCTCCCACCTCAACAGTGCTAAGGATGTCAGACTGCAGCTTAGGCCCAATCCTGTGGGGAGTGAGCCTAAGCCGCAGTCTGACATCCCCCAAGGGCTCCCAGCTGCCAGAGGGATGTCTGACTTCCAGCTTAGGCCCAATCTCCCAGAGAGCGGGCCTAAGCCACAGTCAGACATCCCCCCTCGGGTCTCAGACTGTGAGAGGGTGCAGGCTGGGCTGAGGGATGCCCATGCGCCCCCCCCCCGCCCCAAGTGCACGAATGTTCGTGCACCGGGCTTCTAGTACTAATATATTAAGATAGGCCTCATTAGTAATACAATGTATGTCATTATTTCTAAGCATATGTAGATTTTTAAAATTAAAATAGTAATATATTTTTTATTTTGAACTGCTTACTTTATTTACCAGTAAACTATAAACAGTGTCCTTTTATACACAACCTGTAGGTATGCATATATATAAATATTGATGCAGATGTGACTATATGCTTATGCCATAAATTACTTAATCATTATCTGATTTTAGGAATGTAGGCTTTTTTACTTCTTTAAATTTGTCTGTGTTGTTCTCATTAGCTCTCTGAATTTACCACAACATTCCCACATTCAGTTTGTTTTTGTTTTTTTCACCTTGGTGGCCACATCTTTATCATTATTGGGAGAGTGCATTATGGGAACCTGAGAGGCCCTCATCCCTGATGATTTAAGCGGCCCCTTGAGGACAGAGGAGAACACCGGTCTGTGTTTGGCTCCAGTCCTGTGTCAGCGTCCTCCTTCTCTCAGAGAAAGTGGCGACTTCCAAAGAAAAGTCACCTGCTCTCCAGACACCGAGACCTGGCCCCTAGGAGGATCTTTAGCATGTTCTTCTGGAAATTCAGAGCCAAGGCCTAGCTTTAGGCACAGCTTGAACTCTAGAAAGAGCTGATATTT